AGATCGTAAAGGAGTGAAATGAAATCATACGAGGTACACACTAAGATCGTAAAGGAGTGAAATGAAATCATACGAGGTACACACTAAGATCGTAATGGAGTGAAATGAAATTCATTTTTGGTATTTCATTCTTTAATGTTACTGAATGAGTATTGTTTGACATTCACTTCCTGGCTACTTTTGCTGGAATAGAGAATTGCAAGAGATTTTTCTATACTGATCTTGCCAAATTAGCTTATTAATTTCAGTGAGTGTATATAAATTCATTTGCATTTCCTATATACACCATTTCCTAATGTTTCCCCCCATTTGTTTCTTAACCTTCCACCTTTGTTTTGCTTTGTGCCATGGTACTAATAAGTCAAATTCTGTAACGACTAAGAATGATGGCAGAATGTGAGAATGTGGCTTGTTTGTTTTTTTTATTTTCTTATTCGTGAAAAAAACTTTCCATGTTTTATCCTTCAGAATGTTGCTCACTGTAGATTGCTTGGGCGTACCCTTCATTAAGTAAAACTCACTCTTACTGCCACGGAGTCCAAGCAGTGGCTCTGAAGGAGCTGGCAGAACTGTTCCCATGGGCCGCTGAGACCGCACCTCTTCACGGTCTTTCTGCTGGTGACTTCCAGTTGCTGACCTTGCAAGCAGCAGTCCAACATGCACCCACTACGCCACCAGGCTGCTCCAACCGGAATAAAGGATTCCCTCATTAATCCCACTAGAACCCAAGTGGTATAGTAGCTACGTGTTAGGCTGCGATCTGCATGTTAGCAGTTCAAAACCACCAGCAGCTCCTTGGGAGAAAGACTGGCCTTTTCACTGCCGTGAACAGTTACAGCCCCAGGAAACCCACAGGGGGTGGGGGGGCGCTCTGAGTCCACACTGACTGGTGGCAGCGAGTTTGGTCTTTTGGCTTTATTACTCCTGATCTGCTAAGTGTTTTCAGCCGCAGTGATAGTCACTGCAGTGAGGTGCTCGCACCCTAACTTTCGTCATTCCGCAATGCTGCAAGTGAACCCCCTGACGCCCAAATTCAAACACTCTTTGCATTTCTGCAAGAAACCAACTGAACATCACGCTTTTTTATATAGTACATGCTTCTGTTGGCCGAGAACCTGTGTACAAGACTCGCCTGTAGCATTCTTCTTCATAATGTCATTGTCAGGTTTATGGTCACCCTTAAAACAACTTACAATGTTTTGTCTACACTCTAGAGGAGTTTCTATGTCTAAGTATTGGGAGAACTCATCCTTGTTTTCAAATTGTACTATGTGTTTTTCCTCTTTAAGCAGTAAATAGGAAAAAAGATAGTAAATATTCTTTCTCGAACTGTTGAAATAACATGGTTAATGTATTAATGAAGTAAATGATATTTACATCTTTTCTGATATTAAGCTGCTTCCTAAATAAATTCTACTTGATAACAGTGTTATCATTTTTATATATTCTTCAATTTGGGCTACCAATGGCTAATTTAGGACTTCTTCCATAAAGCACATGAAAGATGTACTTTCACTTTCCTTAATGTTCTATCCTTGCCTGTTTCGGCCTGAAAGCAATGGGACGCGCCTTTGTCTTCAGAGAGAGCACGCGCACAGACGGTAGGACGGAGGCCTTCAGAGAGCGATAGGAGTATTTCTAAAACCAGGGCGGACGGTGTGTACAAGTTTACATCGAACTACTTTTCTTTAGTGCTTTTATAGGGTTATTAGAGTGATTTCTCTGAGTCAGTTTAGATGGCTAACACTATTCTGGGGATTCTTCCATTACTCATGCGATGGACCCATTCTCGGGCACAGCCCTTCTGTAAGGTCGTCCCTTTTCTCATCTGTAACCCGTTCCCACTCACCGCAGCCACCAGCCCAATCACTGCAATCAGTGGCATGCTTTGGGGGTCAAGTTTTTTCAAAGGGCCAATTGGCTTTATCTTTGTTTACTGTGCCACTAATTTCTATTCTTATCTTTAACAGCATCCTTACACTCCTTTGGGAACTACTTTATTGTTCTCAAGTTGGCCGTTTAGATGATGAATTTTCAGCTCCTGAAATGCTCCGATTAGCACCCTGGGAAGGGGGTGAAGCTGGGAGGTTCCCACAAAACCCTACTGCTGTGCATCCGCAGACAGCAATCTTAATATCATTGAGCTTTAAGTATTTTACATTTCCCTTTTTAACTCTCTTTTGACCCATGTATTATTTAAGAGTGAGTTCTTCAGTTTCCAAAACTGTGGTGATTAAAAAAGCCATCTCTGCGATTCACTTCCCAGGACTCTTGGTGGCGCAGCAGGTGCTTGTGCTGCCGATGGAAGTCCGGAAGGGTGGGGGGGACATGAGGCAGTCTGCTCCCGCCAGACTCACAGCCTGGGGAACCGCTGTAGGCTTCCGACCCTGTGCTACATGGTCACCATGGATCCGAATGAATTCAATAGCAGCGGGCTGGGTATGAAGTTCTTTTAATTAATAAATTTAAACCTTGTAACTAATAATTTCAATGTGATCCAATGTGCCCACCATTGGAATCTGGTGGGTCTTCATTCATGTCCAAGAGTGTGTAAATCTTTGCCAGTATGATACATGTTTACTGTAGTATTAAGTTTGTGGGGTGAGGAGGGGGACCGGCCCCCACCGCTAGTCATGGGTTCAAAAAATGCACAATTGTACGGTTGAGATATAAGTATTATATTAAAGTCATCGAGAGCATGAGCGATAGAAGAGATATTACGTTAATGCAGTCAGACACATTACATGGTAGCATTTCTCACCTCAGCCCAGCTTGCTGGTCCACGTGGAGAGAGGGGGAAGGGAAGGAAGACAGGAAAGGGAACAAGAGAGAGAGGAAGGGGGAGGAGAGGGGGAAGAGAGGCAAGCAGGACCAGTGAGAGCCCAGCGAGAGAGGAGAGAGAGAGAGCTCTATTGTTAGCCCAGGCCTATATACCTTTGGGGGGTGCTAGCCCACTAATTACAGGTAAAGACATATGTCACAGGAAGGGGTTGCATTATAGGCCACACAGTAATGAGAGGGGGTGGTCTAGGGACATTCCACAATAGGAAGAGGAGGGATTGGGGTATACATGTGACAAGATGGGCGGATCCTAGATTCAGGATGGCAGCTTAACTTTGACCTGTTCCTTGGGAATCCATAGGAACCATTATCAGTAGGGTGTAAATGGCTCCTAAAGGAGCCTGTCCATTGTCCCCAGCAGCAGGG